GCGCCCAGACCCAGAGTTCAAGCCCCATGACTGGCCAAAAAAAAAAGAGAGTGAGTGAGCCATTACTGGCTCCTGACTATGGCACAACCCCTGCCAGAGCATTCTGTGAGATCCTGCCATGGAGGTAAGATGCTGTGCCCTTCTCCCTTTGCCCTATGGACCATCCACCAGCCCCGCATGACCTCCATTTCCTTGACATTGGACAATGGGACTGGCTTCCTTTCCACGGTCAGCCCTAGCAGGGCCAGGCCAATGGTGCTGGCATTCCACTGCACAAACTATTAGTGTGTGCTTTGCAACTTCTCTAGAGGCATGTAGGACGATGGAGGCCGTACATAGGAAATCATAATGGAACCCAACGGGCAGCTTCTTAAGCCCCAAATCATCCCTGTTGATCCCCATTCTAGAGCCAGCCAGGAAAGCCCGGAAGATTGCAAGGCCAACCCTCCTCTAGGAATCTTGGCTTCTTCTCACTCTCAGCCCATAAAACCACCATCCATGTGTGACATGTAGATCGTGAGCCCAGGCTGACCTCAAACTCAGAGTCCTGCTTTGCCTCACCTTCCTGAGTGCTGACACTACAGGTTTGCACTACCATGCCCAGCCACACTATGGTTTTTTTTGTTGGTTGTGGGGCTTGAACTCTGGGCCTGGGCACTGTCCCTGCGCTCTTCAGCTCAAGGCCAGCACTCTACTGCTTGAGCCACAGCGCCACTTCTGGTTTTCTAGTGGTTTATTGGAGATCAGAGTCTCATGGACTTTCCTGCCTGGGCTGGCTTTGAACCGTGATCCTCAGCTCTCAGCCTCCTGAGTAGCTAGGATTATAGGTGTGAGCCACTGGTGCCTGGCACACTATGCTTCTTAAAAAAATGTCTCCATGCTGTTGGGTGTTCACATGGTTCATGGCTTCCTTGTTCATGTGTTGTTCCTACACATTCTCTCTTCAGCCATGGGGGCTCTGGGATCCTATAGTGCCTTAGCTATAGGCAATGATGCAACCATGAGCTGCCTTGTGCCTAGTACCTGTGTCATACTGTTCTGCCTATCACTCTCCCCCCTCCCTTCTCCCCTTTAACTTGGACAAATTCTGTACTTTCTTCACATACTCTGTACTTTAAAAAAATAATCTGTATAATTTCTATTCTTTTTCTAGAGGGTAGGGAAGGGCAGATCTGGGTTTAAAAAACAGGGCCTCTGAGCTGGGCACTGGTGGCTCACACTTGTCATCCTAGCTATGCAGGAGGCTGAGATCTGAGGATCATAGTTCAAGCCAGCCTAGGCAGGAAAATTTGTGAGCCCTTTTTTTTTGTCAGCCATGGGGCCTGAACTCTGGGCCTGGGCGCTGTCCCTCAGCTCTTCAGCTCAAGGCTAGCGCTCTACCACTTGAGCCACAGCACCACTTCTGGTTTTTTGATGGTTTATTGGAGACAAGAGTGACAAGAGTTTCATGGCCTTTCCTGCCTGTCCTGGATTTGAACGGTGATCCTCAGCTTTCAGCCTCCTAAGTAGCTAGGATTACAGGTGTGAGTTGCTGGCACCTGGCTGTGAGACTTTTTTTTGTCAGTTTTGGAGCATTTTCCCACAAGGCTAGTGGTCAACCACTTTGAACCATAGCACCACTTCTAGTTTTCTGGCGAGAAGAGTCTCACAGACTTTCCTGCTTGGGCTGGCTTCAAACCGTGATCCTCAAATCTCAGCTTCCTGAGTATCTTCGATGACAGTTGTGAGCCACCAGTGTCCAGCATCGGTGATGCTCTTATCTCCACTGAACCACAGAAAAACAGAAGCAGAGCTCTGGTTCACAGTAGTAGAGCACTAGCCTTGAGCAGAAAAAGCTCAGGGACAGCGCCCAAGTCATGAGTTCAAGCCCGACCACCTACCAAAACAAAACAAAACAAAAACTGCGCCTCTGTATGTTAGGCCAGCTGCTCTACCATTTGAGCTACACTTCTGCCCTTTTTATTTCTATTTTTCGTTAAACCACGGTCCTCAAACTTCAGACTTCTGGGTAGCTAGGATTACAGGCATGAGCCACCGGTGCCTGGTTCTTCTTTTTAAATGTTATTTTTTATATGAGTCTCAGTTGTTGCCCAGGGTTGGCCATGGATTGTGATCCTCCTACTTTGCCCAGTTTATCCTAAGTAGCTGAGATTACAGATGAGAGCCACTGTGCATGGTCTCTACTTTTTTTTTCTTTCTCTGCTTTCTTCAGAGTGTATATCCCAGGCCCACTGACCATAACGTACCCCGTTGTGGTGTACATGTTTCCTGTACAGGGTCCTTAATATATATGTGAATAAAAAGCACTAAGCTTATTTTGTTGGCCTTCTGGTAAACCTAGCAGACAGCTAAACAAGGCAGTATGTCCTTTTAGGGAAAGTGTTCTCAACTTTTCTAGAACTTTCCTTTTGAAAAAAGAAAGAAAAAGTATCTACAATCCTTAAAACATTCTTTGGAATCTTCTTGGTGGGGGAGGATTATGTTTTCAAGACATGATTAGCTCTTGGGAATGGTTTAAAGCTACTTGGCAACCAAGCTAGGGAGTGAGGTGGGTAATCAAGCTGAAGAATATTCCAGTTGATTCCAAGCAAGGTGTGAGCATAAAGAAATGAAGCTGATTTACTTATGTGGCATAGAAATGGGCTCAGCAGGAATTCTACAAGAGGACTTCCAAATACAGTAGTATCTTGGCAAGAAAAAAAGTATTTTTTTCAGTACATACACATATACACACACACAATGTATAGTGTCTGCACAATACATAGACACATAAAAATTTTTTTAATCATTGGATTTTTTTTTTCATGCCATTCCTAGGACTTGAACTCAGGGCCCGCGTGCTATCTCTGAGCTCTTTTGCTCAAGGCTAGTGCTCTACCACTTTGGGCCACAGTTCCACTTCTGGTTTTCTGATGGGAAACTGGAGCTAACAGTCTCATGGACTTTCCTGCCCTGGCTGGCTTCAAACAGTGGTCCTCAGATCTCAGCCTCCTAAGTAGCTAGGATTACAGGCATGAGCCACCTGTGCCTGGCTTTCTTCTTAATTTTATGTTGCTCTTTATGGAAGAAGCTGGAAGATGGGAGAAAATAAGGAAGGTAGGTTTAGTCCCCACCTAATAAAAACTGGTTTATACAGAGCTATGTGTTACTATAATCTCATGTGTGTGAAGGGGAGGAAAACAGTTGGAAGGATCAAATAGTTAGTTGTAGGGGCTGGAAGCGGGTGTGTGGCTCAGTGGTACAGCACTTGCTTAGCATATACAAGGCTCTGTGTCTCATCCTCAGCAACACACCAAAATATGAATACTGAATCTCCCTGAGTGTTCTGTCTTTCCATCATGACAGTGAAACACTTGAGATAATTCTAAGAGGTTTGTTTTTGGCTCAGTGGTTTGGAGGTTCAGTCCCATTAATTTGGGCATGTGGCAAGGCAGCATAAGGTGGTTGGGGAGTCAGTGGTGGAGCAAAACCACTCGCCTTTTGGTGGGAATGAGGTCCCACAGTTCCCCATAGAGGCATGTCCCCAGTGACCCACAGATTCACCCCCCTCACACACCCGATCTCTCAAAGGACTTCCCACTTTCCTAGCTCTACCCTGGACACCAGTCCTTTCATACATGAGCCCTTTGGGGATATTTAACATCCATAGGATAACAAAGGGTTATGAAATTATAATGATGTATTATTAGCAATGTTCTTACTTATATATATTTCTCTTGTAATAAGTGCGAGAAAAGCATCTTTTCTATCAAAGCATTTTGCTTCCTTTGTGTTAATCTTGAGAAAATTGTTTTTCTGAAAAGTTCCCACTTTTGACAGGTGGCACTTTAAGACATACTGTTAGAAGCTTGTTGAATTTCAGTTGCATTCTGTTCACTAAATCACGTCCTTCCACAGACAAGGAACCTAAGGTCAGCCAATGGGAGCAGAGGGCCTGAGGTCAGCCAATGGGAACAGAGGGGTGGGGCCTGCTGAGTTAGGTATAAAAAACGGAGCAGCTTGCTTTGTGTGTGCTTGGTTTTTTGCTAGATTTCTGGCTGATGGCACAACTCTTATGCAGAAGTAAACAGCCTTGTTGAGTTCAAGTTGGTGTCCTTATTCCTATGTACCACCAACATCCTAGCTTTTTTTTTTGTCAGTCATGGGGTTTGAACTCAGGAACTGGTTGCTGTTCCTGAGCTTTTTTTGTTCAAGGCTAACGCTCTACCACTTTAAGCCTCAGCACCACTTCCCCGAGGTATTTTCCACAACTTAGTTTCTTTGGACAAATTTAATTTGTGGAAAAAGTAGAGTTATCCAGTGACCCAGAGATAATCAAGCAAAAGTGGAAACAAAAAACCACAAAAAACCTCTGACTACTGTGTGATGCGCTAGAGTCCCATTTAGCCCAAAGATTCAGTCTTTGTTACATAACTTATGAAAGGTGAGCTTGTGGAAGTTCATATGTACATTTAACTGAGAACGTGGCCTGCAAACTTCCAGTAAGATGGAACAACCTTCCTGTTGTCATGCCTCTAATACACAACTGTCAACACAATTCAGTTGTAGAAAGTTTAAAGTCTATCATAACTACTCAAAGATGGAAAGCTACAAGCAAGCCATAAAAGTGGATACATTTTTTTAAAAAAAACTGGTCTTGGGGGTTTGAACTCAGAGCCTGGGTGCTGTTCTTGGGCCTCTTTGTGTTCAAGGCTAGCCCTCTACCACTTGAGACAAAGCACCACTTCCGGCTTTTTCTGAGTAATTCATTAGAGAGAAAAGAGTCTCATGGACTTTCCTGCCTAGGCTGGCTTTGAATGATGATACTCAGATCTCAGCCTCCTGAGAAGCTAGGATTAAATGTGTGAGCCACTGGTGCTCAGTCCCTTTGGGGGTTGTGATGGAATTACAGTGATAAAAAAGCCAGGTGACTTGGCTTTTTTTGGATGGTCTTAAACAAAAAATGAATTGGGCAGGGGACAGGGCAGGGGGGGGGGTATGGAGGGAGGAAACATCGTGCCTTTTTATTTGAACATTTATTTATTTTTTTTCAAAGAAATCCATGCAGAGAGAAAGAAAGAGGGAGAGAGCGAAACATGGCAAGCATGTTCTAGCAGCCAAACATAAGAAAATAATTTGGCACAACTTGATTTTTTTTTTCTTTTTCTTTTTTGCAAAAAAGACAAATCTATACTACTACTAAAATTGACCTTCCTCAGAAAGCTCCCATTTGATTTTCGAAAACATAACGCATGGTTAGTCTTCTACTTAATGGTTGGAGGAGGTATATAAGTAAAAAAATAGAAAAAAAGAAGGTGGTTCCCTTTGGGGAGGACCACATGGTGCTGTTGGCAGCACGGGTAGTGGTGCACCGAGGAGTCAGTGCACCAGAAAGGAAAAGCAGGCCACAGAGATGGCCAGGCTGGTCAGGATCTTCAGTGGGGTGGCTGCCGTCCCCAGGTTTTGGGAAGAAGATGCGATCTCATTGTCCGGATTCACATGTTGCTTGCTCCCAGGAGCTTCGTCCACATCCAGGTCATAAGCCAGTTCTGCCAAAGGGACAAAAAAGACAAGAAGGATTTGAAATGCAGGGTGAGGCACAAGATCGCACCTAGGCTATCATGCTTCAAGTGCTTTGTACTATCATGATGACCCTGCTTCGGTTTTTTGTTTTCTTTCAAAACAATTTTTTTTTTAATTATCTGTGAGTAGTTGTACAAAGGTGTGGCCACTCAACAAAGCAGTTTATGAATACAGTGCATCTGGATCAATGTCTTTTTTTTAAATGCAGATAAAAAGCAGTTTGTAAATCTAGGTGCTCATGCTTATAATCTAGGCTCATGCCTATAATCCTAGCTACTCAGGAGGCTGAGATCTTATGATAGTGGCTCAAAGTCAGCCCAAGCAGGAAAGGCCATGAGACTCTTTATCTTCAGTTAAGTACCAGAAAACTGGAAGTGGTGCTGTGGCTTAAAAAGATAGACTGCTAGCCTTGAGCATAAACAACTCAGGGACAGCACCCAGACCCCGAGTTCAAAACCCACGACCAACAAAACCAAATATAAAACAACCAAAAAACCCCAAACCAATTTGAATATACTTACCAAAGTGCCTTATTAGTTCAACTTTGAAATTAGGTTTGATTCTGTCAGTCACGCTCCATAGCTTGAACATTTTTAACATTTATTGATTTGTGTGTGTGTGTGTATATGTGTGTGTGTGTGTGTGTGTATGTGTGTGAGTGTGCCGGTGCTTTGAATCACAATCCTCAGATCTTAGCTTCCTGAGTAGCTAGGATTACAGGGTGAGCCACTGGTGCTCAGAAGTCCTTCTCTTTCCTTCTTTTCTTTTCTTTTCTTTTTCTTTCTTTCTTTCTTTCTTTCTTTCTTTCTTTCTTTCTTTCTTTCTTTCTTTCTTTCTTTCTTTCTTTCTTCCTTTCTTTCTTTCTTTCCTTCCTTCTTTCTTTCTTTTTCTTTTAAATAAGGTCTGTTTATCTTTCCCATGACCTTATAAATTGATAGCAGGTAAACTGAGAGGAAGGAAAGGTGAGAGGCTGATGGGCAAGAATCTTTCATTCTTTGTCTGTCTACCATTTGTAAGATATAAGTCTAGATTCTGAAAAGAAATTGGATGTTTTGTGGCTTCACATCAAAGTCTCTCCTTGGAAGGTAGCTTGAAATAAGCAGATAGGGGGTTCTCAGAAAATTCAAAATTGCTTGGCCTGGGCTGAGAGCATGATTTCTTTCAAATTCACCTCTCCAAACTTAAGAGATCGAATCTACCCCCTTGGCTTTGATAGGCTCTCTGGCCAATGTTTCTATTTTAATATCTTGTGAAGGTGATAGGAGGTGACTCAACGTCACTAGCCAGCCAACTGTCCTGTGGCCAGGGATCCGGAAAGCGGCCTCTGGGACACTGTGCTACATAGCAACAGGCCCAGAGGAAATAAGTGGGATTCTATGGAGGGAAGGAAGGAAGAGGATGGAGGAGCTCCTCTTACAGGGCATGAAATACTCAGTAAGCCACAGGAAGCAAGTGTAGAAAATAAGCTGGTCCAGAATGCATGTAGTATAGGGCCCTGCACCAAAGCTGAGCTAAAGCTGGCATGGGTTAGGCACACAGCAAATACGTGAAGATGATTGAAATCAGTGGGTTTTATTTATTTATTTATTCATTCATTCATTCATTCAGACATTGTGCTTGAACTCGGGACCTGGGCACTGTCCCTGAGCTTTTTTTGCTCAAGGCTAGTACTCTACCACTTGAGCCACAGCTCTACTTCCAGCTTTTTCTGTGTATGTGGTACTGAGGAATGGAACCCAGGGCTTCATGCATGCTAGGCAAGCACTCTACCACTAAGCCACATTCCCAGCCCAGTGGGTTTGATTTCTCAGATTGGGATCCTATTTTCCAAAAGGGATCTTTGTTTGTTTGTTTGTTGTACTGGTCCTGGGGCTTGAATTCAGGGTCTAAACACTGTCCCCAAGCTTCTGCTGCTCAAGGCTAGTACTCTACAACTTGAGCCACAGTGTCACTTTTGGCTTTTTTGGAGTAGTTTATTGGAGTCTCATGGACTTTCCTGCTTGGGCTGGTTTCAAATTATGATCCTCAGATCTCAGCCTCCTGAGTAGCTAGGATTACAGGCATGAGCCAGTGGCACTCGGCTCAAAAGGGACAACTTTTTAAAGGCATTGCCAACAAAATGATACAGCTAATTTTATCATGCCCCAGTTGAAAGGAGGGGGGGTGAGAGAGGGAGGGAAGGAGAGAGAGGAGAGTATGTTTAGATCCTAAGATAATGTCTTGTTTCTTGAATTTACATGTGTTTTTTGTTTACAGTCCTGGGGTTTGAATTCAGGGGCTGAGTGCTATCCTGGAACTTTTTGGCTAGTACTCTACCACTTGAGCCACAGCTTCACTTTCATCACTATTTTGGGGGATGAGGGGTGGGGGGGGAACTTAATTGGAGGTAAGAATTTCATGGGACTTCCTGTCCGGGCTGGCTTTGAACCGTGATCCTCAGAACTCAGCCTCCTGAGTAGCTAGGATGGTAGGCGTGAGCCACTGGCACCCAGCTAACTCTAATTCTTTTTATCTGCTGAATATACTAAGAAATGATGTCCTAATTTCATACATATGAATCTGATCACATTTTACTCCTCTCAAAATGAAGAAAGATTTGCTTTCTGTACTGATAGCCATGCAGGTTTTCCAAGGATTTCTTTGACCCAGAGAAAAGTAATTTAGCAAACCGCAATCTAGCTGCCTCCCCCCTTCCCCCCTCCACCTTGGAACATATCTACTAACAAAATAAAAAAGAGAAAAAGAACAAAGAGTAATGCTCTAGTTGGAATCAGATGTCTTTCCCTGAAAGGTGAACTATGCAGGGCCTACAAGGCGGCTGGGGTCAGCTGTCAGTGGGCAAGGAAAGGAAGGAGAGCAAGGCGAGCACAATCCTGGGTCATGATCAGGTTTCAGTGAAGTGCAAAACACACATGGCTGGGTGTGTTGAAAGCTCAGCTTTGAGTGTCACAGTAGCTTCTCCACTTAAGAAGAGTATTTTTAGGGTTGACCCGAATGACTGTTCTCAGCCTTGCTTTCAGATACCTTTTCAGGATGATGTCCCTTGCTGAACATCGAGATAAAGAACATCTTATTACATTACCACACAGTTTCTACTCGATTTTGCTCTCTTCACACAATCCATTTCCCATGAAATAGTCTTTATTTACTGCAGTTCTGCTAAATGCAGTTGTTTTTCATCTTTTTATCCGCCCCCCCCCCCGCAATTTCATTTTCTTTTTCTTTTTTGGATCTTAGCTTGGAAATGATAATAATGACTTCTTCTTCTTTTTCTTCTTCTTCTTCCTTTTCCTCTTCTTCCTCCTCCTCCTTCTCTTCCTCCTCTTCCTCCTTTTTTTGTCAGTCATGGGTCTTGAACTCTGGGTCTGGGCACTGTCCCTGTACTCTTCATCTCAAGGTAAGTGCTCTACCACTTGAGTCACAGCGCCACTTCTGGTTTTCTGGTGGTTTATTGGAGATAAGAGTCTCACAGGCTTTGCTGATTGGCCTGGCTTTGAACCATATTCCTCAGATCTTAGTCTCTTGAGTAGCTAGGGTTACAGGCATGAGCCACTGGTGCCCAACGATAATAATGACTTCTACATATTTATTCCTCATATTATGCCAGGCATGGTGTTACATGATTCCTCTACATTATCTCATTTAGTTTCACCTCTCCACTGCATTGTGAAGTAAGGATTACAGAATTCCCATTTTACTCACAAGGAAGCACAAGCTCAGGTTAATTGTTTTGTCTGCATTTTTTAGGGAAAGAGTGGACAGGTTATTTGAATCCAGGGCTGTTTGACCTTTTGTGAAGCTATATTGCCTCTTGAAAAATTCTATATTACCAAATAGACTGCAGAGATTTTAGTAGTTAAGATGATTACTTGAAAGAAACTCAATTTGTCAGTTATAGATAAGTAAATAGAGCTTCCAGCCAAGTGCCAGTGGCTTATACCTGTAATCTTAGCAAATCAGGAGGCTGACATCTGAGGGTTACGGTTCAAAGCCAGCCTGGGCAGGAAAGTCAGTGAGACTCTTACCTCCAGTGAACCACCAGAAACCTGGAAGTAGAGCTATAGATACAAGTGGTAGAGAGCTAGCCTTTAATGCAAAAGCTCAGAGGCAGTGCCTAGGCACTGAGTTCAAGCCTCAGAGCTAACACAAATAAAAAAAGAGAACTTAAAAAAAAAACAAGAATAATTAAGTGTTTCCATGTAAAACTGACCATCTACTTGATTTAGGTAGATTTGTGAAAATTTTGTGAAATGGTAAAAAGATATCTGTCTAGGGATCTGAAGTGGGAATTATTTTTTTGTAATAATTTCTTCCCTTTATTTATTTATTTCATAAAATGAACAGGGAACAGTTAATTTCTTACTATAATTTCTGGGGCTTGAACAGTTAAATTCTTACTATAATTTCCAAAGGTGAAAAAGCAACCATAGACAATATCATTATTTCTGAATAGAATAATCATCACGTGCATAAGAAGTTATGGACCTTGGGACACAGAACTATGGGCCTCTTTCTCACTAGGAGACTGGCTGTGTTTGTCAAAGGAGAAAGAAGCAATTAATTAGGTGCTTTGCACATTCAGGATATATACTTTAATTAGCTCTATTGCTATTTTTTTTAGCATTTTTTTGTAATTGTGATTACTGATTACATAAATTTCACAGTATTGTGGGATAGTGATACTTAAAGTCAAAAACACATTCTAACCTTCATGGAGCAAATTGTCTTTATCGTGGTCCATAAAGTTTATGAGTTCTATGAGCTTTGACAACATAGTTATTTCTTCCATATCAGGTGATATGTACATTTCTTTCCTTTTGCATAGCATCAGCTGTTCCGTCTTTCCTGTTCATTCCCTCCCTCCCATTGCTGCCATTGAGTTGCTTAGTTTATTTTGATCAATGTCCAGTGCAGCTGATGGGTCCCGCTGTTGTATGTTTCCCCTTGATTCCCTGTGATTCTGTGT